AGGTTCTTCAATAGCAGTGCCTCATTTTGTTTTTCCAGGTCAAGTACCCCCAGTCCCCCCTCCTCCTTTGGTTGGCACACTAATTCCCAGGCAGCCTTTGGTTGTTTCCTTGCATTAATATCAGAACCCCTCCATAAGCAATGCTTTCTAAATTTGTCGATTTGCTTGATCACAGTGGCAGGTAAGGAGAAAGTGCACATGTAAAAGGTTGGCAATGAAGAGAACACAGCATTTGTCAACTCCAGCCTCCCTGCCTGAGAGAGGAAGGTGGAGACACTAGCCAGTCTCCTTTCACATTTGTTTACCAAAGGTGTAAAGTCCTCCACTCTAGGTTTAGTCAATCCCAGAGGCAGCCCCAAATAAGTAAAAGGAAGGGTTCCTTTAGCACACCCAAAAGTCCTAGATAGCAAATCAAACCTACCCTCGTTGACATTGATTGGCAACATAAGGGACTTGCTAAAGTTCACTTTTAGCCCAGTTGACTCAGAGAATTGATTGAGCAAAGACTTGAGAAAGTGAAGTTGTCTTGGATCGCCCTAATGCTTCTCTTCAATTCCTTCTGACTAGGTAATATATTGAACATGTATAACAAAGGCTTTGCACTCCTCCGATCCAATCCTCAACCGCCGCTCAACTGCCATGCTGCTGTCAGCTAGAGACCTATAGATAATTAAAGTAATATAACTTGTCTCCAATTGCATAACATTATCTCGTCAGCTGCTGCTGCTGCTTCTGTAGTTGTAGCCTTGTAGTAGGTCTGAAACAGAAAGGCCTGTTTTGTCAACTTGTGTTCGCTGCACTCGCAGAACTTAATTGATATTGTCAACTCTCCGTCTAAACAAGAAGATGGGGGAAAACAATTTGTGTGTCCAACGTATAGCAAACAATGATTCTCATCTCCTGTTGCTGAAACATTCAGCGATATATCTGATGATCGAACCGAGAAGAATATAATACTGGTATATGTCTCTTTGGCTTCCCTGAAATGCAATACAAATTTTATGTTGCCGACAGGATTAGATATCTTATCAGGCTGTGGATCATTATTGTGCACGAACACCACACTATCTGATCCATCTTTCCCTGATGAGGAACGAACTGCACTAAATTAACAATTGGTTTTGATTTTTTGGCGGTCGTTGAGAGCTGTGGAAGTGGAACGGCTGTTTTGAGGGATCCTGGTTTCCTTGTTTTCCGGTGAGTGTCTCATTTCTGCTTCAACAGTTGGTTGTAGTATTTCTCAGCATGGAATGGGAGGAGGACTAGTTCCATTCATTTATTTTTCAGCAACCTCCATTCTGAGGCCTTGTTTAGATTGCAAATTTTTGCAACCTGGACACTGTAGCACGTTTCGTTTGTATTTGACAAACTTTGTCCGATCATGGACTAACTAGGCTCAAAAGATCCGTCTCGTGATTTACAACCAAACTGTGTAATTAATTATTTTTTTACCTACATTTAATGCTCTATGCATGCGTCCAAAAATTGATGTGATGGAGAGAGAGTGAAAAAACTTGGAATTTGGAAAAAAAAAAAGGCAAAGTCAACAGACCATGCACAGATTGTTTAATGCTCCCGGGATCAAGTGCATGCATGGTATTGCCCTTGCATGAATGGCTTCTCAGTTATCGAAGCAGATTACTCCGTGCATGAATGACAAAAACTACTACCGCTAGTTTACTTTTACTATGAAAAGGTTCTTCTTCTTCTTCGAAGCCACGCTGCTAGCTGAATCATGCTAAACTAGGACCGACTGGCCGGCCTCCTTTTCAAAATCAAATCTCAAATGCTTATCAGAAGTGAGATCGATCTCTGATTGTTTGGCTAGCATGGACCATGTTAGAGTTTTATTACTCCTGGACCATGGCGAGCAGGCTAGTGTACTACCACTACTCTTTCTCTAATCTACTCCATTCGTCCCTTGTCGTTTTCGCTTCCCGAGATACAACTTTGACTAAATATATATTAAAAAATATTAATATTTATGATATATAATTAATATCATTGGATAGACATTTGAATCTAGTTTTTTAATAAATTTATTTGGAGATAGAAATGTTACACGTATTTTCTATAAATCGAGTCAAAGATATCGACATGCAAATTATGGCGACAAAATGTTTAGGGACAGAACGACCTAGCTAGCAGAGTCTTATCGATTGGCAAGACGGGGAGAATTCGAAGAGAGACAGATGATGGGCTCCATCTCCAATTCTCCGTGCTGACCGCGACACGCCGACTCGTTTCGTGTGGCACGTGTGCTCTCTGCTCTCTCTAGAGAGTTTTGCAATAATTCAAGATAGACACACGCTGCAAACATGCAATAGAGCAGCTTAATGAAAACCAGCAGAATTCATCTCAGGACAGCGACGACGACACGCACGATACCACCGTGCCGCGCGCATTCGATCAGGAACAACACGGAGACACACACTACTGACACGGGGCAGGAGACAAAAATTGAACCCTAGCTTTTGCGTGGTTTCTAATCCTTCACCTCCATCTTTAATTTGCTTGCTTTTTTTTTACATATATATGACAGAATTAATTGTTCATCCGTTTTCTTAATCCTGAATTATTGGGAGGCGTTAACGCTCGCCTCTCACGAGCTGCGGCAGGTAAAGCGCGCAGTGACAATGTCGCCGTTGCAGTCCGCCGGATTTGCTTGCGAGATCTTTGCTTCGGTGGTTGGGGATCGATGGCACTGACGTGCGCGCGCGCTGATGGATTAGACTGAGCTGAAGCGTACTAGGCGGGAGGAGGAGGAGGCTGGAGAGGGAGTACGGTGGGTACGGGCTACGGGTACCCGTCTCTTTTGCTCATCGTCGCGCTGCACGTCGAGACGGGAGCAGAGAGCATTTTAGATGATTCGTGCATGGTTTGCATGGTCGGCGCCCCGCCCATGGGTTTGCATCAGGGTCAGTCGGTCAGAAGCGAGTGAGCCAGTTGCAGTTGGTCTGGGCGATGTCAACGAAGGAGCCGGCCCGGACAGCGCCATCCCCATCACCATCGTCATGTGAGCGCTCAGCGGACGGCACACAGGCAGCACAGACATGCAACGCAACGCAATCGATCGGTTCGGTTTTGGTTTGACGCCCTGCGCAGTGCTCGTGGAAACATGCGTTTTGTGCTGTTCCGATCCTGCCTATGCATGCTTCCTGAATTGGATTGAACCGAACCATTCGTCGTCGCCCCCAATTACTCGCGGCTGCAGCCTGACGGCGACGCGTCCGTCCACTCCATCCGTCGCCGTGCCCACGCCCCCCCCCCACCCACCTCCTCCTCCCCACAGGGCGCACCATTCCACCAAGAACAGCCCGGCCGCGAAGCCCAGCGTCTATAGCTCGCGTCGCGTTGCTCGACCGGACCGGACCAGACCATCATCCTTTGTTCGACATGAGGAATAAGCACCCACACGTGCTGCGGAAAGGGGCATATACAACCCCTAATCCCCTATTGGTTGAACACCAACTTCTTATTTCTTGCGCGCGCGTCGTCGTGACGCACGTTTACCGACGATGATGTGTGTGAGTGTCATGCATGGGAGGTAGCAAGGGGAGGGGAAAGGGGAATGTATAGGTTAGGAAAGGGTGGGGGTGAGAAAGGAGTAGCGGCCGCACGCACGCAGGCGGCGGCAACAATGGCGATCCTGTTGATTAGAGTTTGGGTTTGGTGGTCTAGAGACAAAATTATGAACTCATCGGACCTAGAGGGACGGTGGTAGTTGGTGGGAAATTGGGGCGAGTGGAGGAGGTAGAGGAAATCATGGGTGGCTCTTTCGGTAATAAGGTCTTCGCCAACCAAGGCGCCAGTGGAGGTTTGCGGCGAATCTAGGTTCAAAAATCATTGATGTCACCTCCACTAAGCAATAACAGATTTTCGCCTATAAACACTGTTTTAAAAAGAGAAAAACAAAACAATCATTAATGTCACGTAACAGAACGAAATGGGCTAGCCCCGCTCCTGTTTGTGGCAACGGGACCACAAAAGCTGATGAATCTAGTGAGTTTCGCTAAGAGTGAATTGTAGCGCTAGGGTGAGAGATTGCATGGACAGCGTGCTCAAGCGCGGGGTGAGAGGGAATGTGAAAAGGACAGAAGAGGGATCACATAATAAAAAAGGCTCGAGTTTGATACAGTGCCCAACCCCTGGAAAAAAGATGTGACCAAGACTCCTCTAGTTAGGAAAAAACAATGCAAATCAGAATTTAGGGTTCCGGTACTTTTTAATCAACCCTGACTAATAATACTGAAATTATATATGTATATAAGTGTTCATTGTCTGAATTGTGATTTGCAATATATATATATATATATATATATATATATATATATATATATATATATATATATATATATATATATATATATATATATATACCCAGGAGAAAATGTGCTAGGCATTTAACTGAAGTGTGCGTTCCGAAATGCAGCCGAAAATGCACTAGGCGTCTAGGCATTTGACTGAAGTGTGCGTGCGTTATAGGAGCCTCAGGACTATATTTTTCATGGAAAAAAACGGAAAAAGAACAGATACCCACAAGGATGTCATGAATCGTCTGCCATGTCATCACACAGCCACGTCATGGAAAGGCCAGCTGTGGGGCCGAGGCCGGAGGCAGACGGAACGGTTGCGATCCGACGGCCGGCACGGTGTCCGGCGGCCTGAGATTCAGTGACTTTTTCGGCACTCTCCATCCGAGCCCTCCAAATCATCCAAAGGCTGTACTTTCTCTCAGCTCTTGGGACAATCTGTCAGTCACTCGTCTTTCCCTTCGGCTCTAGTAGTCTGGTGGCAGGCGGAGGAGCAGCACCACGTAAGGTTGGGGAATGGGTTGTCAGGCTCCAACGACGGCGCCGGCGGCCGCCATGTGCAGAAGTTGAAGCTCGACTTCTGGTTGTTTACAACTTCACATTCAGCGGGAGCGGGCTCGCCGGCGGCGACGCGCGAGGGAGCTCGGCGCTGGAGGCCTGCAGCGGCGCGACGGCACGCGATGCGAGATGCCGGCGGCGGTTCGGCACTGCAGGCCAGCAGTGGGTCGGCGCGAGGCACCGGAGGCGCTGGAGGCCTGCGGCAGCGCGGCACGATGCGAGATGCCTGCGGCGTCACGGTGTGGCAGTCACCAGCTGGAAGAGCGATACTGGACCACGCGCCCGAGTCGTCACTGCGGCAGCCGCGCCAGCAGGGCTAGAGACCGACCTCCTGCTCTTCCTGCTGCTCAACGTCGTAATGTACCGAACCAGGTCCTCCGTGGTCGTCCGGGCCTCCTCCCTGCAGGTCTGCGGCATGCGCTGCGAGCGTGCGCGGCCGGCGTGGCGAGCTCATGCCTCGCGACCAACGCTGTGTGCCTGCACGGCCAGCGCGTGGGGCGGCGTGGCGAGCTCACGCCTCGTGGCCAACGCTGCGTGTGTGCACGGCCACCGCGTGGGGCGGCGTGGGCACAGGGCATGGCGAGCGGGCGGCCATGGCATGCTGCGAGCGCGCAAGGCCGCCGTGGAGGTCTGCACGGCGAGCGGCTACCGTCGCGGACACGGTGTACGGCGGCCGTCGCGGACATGGGACGCGGCGAGCGTGCCGCCATCGCGGTGGGCGGCGTGGCGAACGCGCACGGCCGGTGTGGCGAGCTGGCGGCCAGCGCTGTGTGCGTGCACGGCCAGCGTGGCGAGCGACCGGTCGGCGTGGGCGCAGGGCGCGGCGAGCGAGCGGCCGTCGCGGGCACGGGATGCGGCGAGCGTTCGCGGCTGTTGCGAAGGTCGGTATGGCGAGTGGGGCGGCCAGCGCGGCGACGATGGGTCTCCTTCGGAGCGGAGCGGTGCCTCAACGTGGCACTTCCGGGCCCTCCGGGGAGGCGCGGATGGCAGCGAGGTGCAGGAGAACTGCGGTGTGGCAAGCTGCGATGCCCTGCTCTGCTATGCTCCAACAACGTTCTCGCGTTGTTGGACATCCTTCGCTGGTGGGGCGTCCCGCCGGGCGCCCAGGCCGGCCTGACCACCGGTGCCATCATGGTTGCGCTCCTGTGCGAGGGGATGGCGACAGAGGCGTACGAGGTCATCGCGAAGCATATGGATGCCGAGTGGTCGACGGCTTCGTCCGAGACTCTCGGAGACTCAGAGTTCGAGCGAATACGTGGCCGCCGGCTGGCCGGTGAGGTGCACGCGGAGCCACGGAGGTTCGGTGCGACGAATGGAGCTTTCGAGTCTTCAATCCAGTAGCGCGGCCGGGACGTTCGCGTGAAAGAAGAAACAGGTCACAGGCCTTGAATCCATCTCCCTCGTTGGATCTTTATTGGACGTTGGATAGCCTAGGAAAAGTTACAACGTGACTTTCCGAAGCAAAGTCACTGAATCTGCGTCCCTGTCGGGCCGCGGCCGGCATTGCCCACCCAGCCTTAAAGCGGAAGCATCCATCATCCTTGCCTCGGCCCCCGCTCTCGCTCCGGCAGTTATCAGTCGCCTCCGCCCGCCCGATCCCCGGCTCCCCTCCCCGTCCCCGTCCCCGCACCGCGCCGCAGATCGGCAGGGAGAGCGGAGGAATGGTGAGCGCGTCCAGCCTCCTGCTCCCGTCCTCCATACGGGACCTCGCCTCCTGCGTTTCCGACGGCGCGGTCCGCGTCGCCTGCACCACGCCGTCCTCCACCATCACGGCCACCTCCTCCTCGTCGTCCTCCTCCTCCTCCCCTCCACACTCTCGGTCGCCGTCTCCTACCGCGCTACCCCGCAGTCGCCGACCTCGCCGCCGCTCCTGCTCCGCCTCACCTGGTCCCACACCCCGCTGGGTCCCCCGACGCTGTCCTTCGCCGGGCCCACCGCCTCCTCCCCCGCCGTCCTCCTCCGCCGCCGCAAGGGCACCCGCTCCCTCCCCTCCACCTCGCCCCACCCCGCGCTCGCGCTCTTCTGGGACCTCACCGCCGCCAGGTACACCGCCGCGGGCGGCGCGTCCCCGGAGCCGGTCTCCGGGTTCTACGTCGTCGCCGTGGCCGACGCCGAGGTGGTGCTGGCCGTCGGCGACCTGGCGTCCGAGTTCGTCAAGGCCAAGTTCGAGGGCCAGATCCTCAAGGCGCGGTCCATCCTCCCCGTGGCGCGCGCCGACCGCGTCGTCGTGGCAGCGGCACCGCCGTGGCCTGGAGCCGCCACCGCGGTGCACGCCGCAAGGGTCCGCTTCGCGGAGGGCGCGCCGGAGCACGAGGTCACCGTGGGCTGCTGCTGCTCGACCAGGGGCAGGAAGGAGGGGGAGGAGGAGCTCTGGGTCAGCGTGGACGGCAAGCGCGCCGTCCACGCGCGCCGCCTGCGCTGGAACTTCCGGGGCAACCAGACGGTGTTCGTCGACGGCGCGCCCGTCGACGTCCTCTGGGACCTCCACGGCTGGTGGTTCCGCGACCCTCCCGGGTGCGCCGTCGTCATGCTCCGCGCCAGGACTGAGCTCAAGAGCAGGCTCTGGCTCCAGGAGGAGGCCCAGGCGCCGGCCTTTGCGCTCCTCGTCCAGGCATTCAAGACGCCGCCTTGAATTTTTCTCGTCATCGTGAGGAGAGATTGCTTTGTGTTGTTGCTTGGATCATCTTCTTCCTTCTTTTGGTTTGCTTCTCTTTTTCTTTTTCTTTTTCGTTATGGATAATTTTAGCTGTGTACTCGTACAGTTTAACAAAAAAACAAAAACTATACAATACAAGTTCATCCTGGTTTGTAAGCTAGCTGTGCCTTGATTTGGAGTTTGAGATGTCCAAATGCAGCGTTGCTTTCACGATTTGTTTATTGTCGATTGCTTTCAGATTATGCAGTGTGTGTATATATATTATTATATATATTATAGACCGATGAATGGTGGTGACGTGGGCAGGATGTAGACGACTGTATGTGTGTTAGGGTGGGCTGAGCTGCTCCTGCTCTTCAGAAGCAGAAAGCGACGTGTTCAGTCTTCCATTTGATCACTCTGTTTCAAGTCTACAATCTTGGCCTCGTAGATTGTAAGTGATCTTATTTAAATCTTTGGATATATGCTGCACTGCACTGCACACATGTCCCTATCATGCATTTCAAGAATGGTTCAATGGGATAATAACTCATGAGTAACTATCAGGTTCAGATCATCGCCCATGATATGCATAGATTGTATTCTCATTGTACTGAATCCTGAACTATGCAATGACGTACGATTAGTGGATTGCATGATTGATGACAGTGACAAGTCTACCTCGCAGCTGGTACGATGGCCATCATCTAATCTAATTAGGGAGATCAGGGTTTTTTCGTTCTGAAATATCAAAACTCTGATGAGAAATCTGCTGTTGTTAAATCACTTGCCAAAACGAAAACGGGTGGAACAGAGGACGAGAGAGCATAAATGCCAGCGTGAATGCCTTCACAGGAATGCACCGACTTGTTACTGTTTATTAGTACCAGTGTTGGCAATGTAGGACGACAGTACGAGTAGAGTAATAACTAGTGTAGTAGCCTAACCAACTTGGGGTAATGGCCACACCTGCTCTGCTCTTGCCAGTAACAAATTAAGGCGCCGTTCGCTTCAATGAAAATTCCGGCTGATAAAATCACGGTTTCGGTTCAAAAAAAAAAAAGCTAAAAAGACGAATCATAAGAGAAATAAATAGGGGCCTAAGAGCATATTCGCTGATTGGTTTCTGGACTGATAAGCTCGACTGGTACTGGTGTGTTATGAGAGAAAAATACTGTTGGCTGGCTGGTAAACTCTTGCTGAAACTATCAAACTAACATGCTATAAAAGTCGATTAGGAATCTGTCAATCCATCATAAACACCGAAGAGAGATAGATTACAAGCAGACAGTCGCTGCTATATTTGCTACCAGAAAGGTGACCGAAATTTATTCCAAAGATAACCAAACAATAGGTACTTGAACGGAGAGTGCACGGTGCAGATATTTGCCTTGCAGAGTTACAGGCTTACAGCTACTACACCATGCATGCACTAACCGGGGACATATATAACTACGAGTACTAGATAGAACAGAACAAGCAATAAATAAATAGTACTAAGTACGTACAGTAAGCAATAGTACACAACCAGCGCTGCAGACACATGCATGTGGATCTGCTGCTACCTGAAAGGGCGCCGTACAATGGCCGACAGATGCCCATGCCCGCGTGCATGTGCGAGCAGCAGATCACGGCGGCGGCGGCGGCTTGGCGACGACGACGGGGAAGTCGATGACGACCACCTTGTCGAGCGCGGCCATGAAGGTGGCGGCGAACGCGGCGTGCCTGTCGTGGCCCATGTAGGTGGCCAGGTCGTCGGCGGAGGCGAAGGTCAGCGAGAAGACGTGGGTGAAGCCCTGCGTCAGCATCTCCTGGTTCAGCACGTCCTGGCCCCTGCAACCAGTGGAGGATATTCATTCGTTCATGGAGATGCATGGAGAGAGAGCAGGGCGATGAACAGAACACATTGCAGTCTCTCATCTCCCTTCTATTAGCAAAGTGAGACGCTAGCTCGTGATACTGGCCGGCCGGGCATGCATGGCAAATCAGTCAGCAGAGCATGATAGCAGAGCATGATAACTGAATGACTGACTGAACAAAATCCTGCTTAACCCATTCAGACTTGTACCATGTGTTACTGTTACTAATTTTCATCATGCAGCGTAAGTAAACTTTAACCAGAAAAAGTTCAATGCATATACATTCAGCTTCAAAAAAGGGGAAGAAGAAAGTGGAAAGGTAACAACAGCTCATGAATGGATGTGTACCACTCGAAAGATTTCACCATGTCCATCCCAGCCACGAGGTCGGTCATGCCTTTGAGCACATCCTCCACCACGACGCCCTCCTTGAACTTCACCAGGCACAGGTGCTTCACCTCCCCCATGGCCGGCGCCGAAAGCCCTCAAAGGTCTCCTCACACTCACTCACTGCCCCAATGGCTTTATTTGCAGAGGAGAGGAGTATGCTGAGGGTGTCAATGCAATGCTGCGATGGATCGTGGCGTGGCGACATGATGGTGCTGGCCAATTTAAGCTAGTGCGCTGCGTTGCTGCGGCACCGACAGGGATCACTGCCGAGCGTAGGTCTGGTTTAGTTTCTCTTCTAAAGTTTACTTTTTATCACATCGTATGTTTGACACATGTATAAAGTATTAAATATAGACTAAAAATAATTAATTGTATAGATTGTGACTAATTTACGAGACGAAATTGCTACAATAAATATATGCTAATGATAGATTAATTAGGCTTAATAAATTCGTCTTGTGGATTACTGAGGACTTCTTTAATTTATTTTGAACACTCACTTATGACATCCGACGTGACGTTCCTCGACTTTGCTCTTTGCATTTAAACACCATTCCTAGTGGTGAATCATTTCGGCACAGTAAATTAAACAAAATTAAACACGACGCGTTTTCGCGGAGCGGAGAATCTTACTGTTACTGGTTTGGAGCTACTTAGAGCATGTTTACATTATTGCATCACGGACGACGAACTGACTCCGTAGCTATCTGAAATTAAAAAAAATGACCTAAACTAACTTGTTTGAATTGAGGCACAGTAAATTAAACAAAATTAAACACCAAGCGGTCCTGTGTAAATTACCATTGCAGTTTAGGGGCTGTTTACATTATTGCATCACGGACTTCGAACCTCCGGATCCTTCAACTGTACGTACTGTAGTGACACTGTACTAAGGAGTCGATGAAGCTATAAATCATGGCTACTTCGGCTCCTTTATTTTCTCACAACTCTCCCTTTTTTTCCTGGGCGGTAAGCGAAACGACTCATTGCTACAGTACCAACAGTGGCACTGCAGTGAACTTGGAGGATTGAGCCGGAGTGGTTTCAAACGCACCAAGCGGTCCTGTGTAGTTACCATTGCAGTTTAGGGGCTGTTTTGGCACAGCTTCTTGCACCTCCGGATCCTTCACTGTACGTACTGTAGTGACACTGTACTAAGGAGTCGATGAAGCTATAAATCATGGCTACTTCGGCTCCTATTTTTCGTCTCGGTAAGCGAAACGACTCATTGCTACAGTACCAACAGTGGCACTGCAGTGAACGGGAGGAGGAGCTAGAGCCATGTCAAACGCAACCTTAATTTTGAGAGTCAACTGTACGTCACAAAACAAAGGGCGACGTGATCCGGCAAACCTTGGAGGCTACTATGTTACGGGACACGTGGAAAGAAAATGATAAATCTTAAAAATTCTCAAAAAACATAAACAGATATACACCCGCTCCTTGAATTCGGTAGACTTTCGTCATCATTAACGATAATAGCCATTACATTATTTTCCTTCAAAACTTACTCATCTTTGCTATCATGAAAAAATTATATAAAAGTAGCCCCTAAATATATACATATTGTGATCATTCCAAAATGGATCTCAGAAAGTATATTATTACACCTATACCTTAGACACTTCCTCATATTACAAATATAATGTTGTCTAGCTTTTTCTGAGTCAAATTATTTAAATTTTGGTAACCAATAACTACTTTTCATAGTGAACCTTTGATGTCGATCTACATAAACTTTTTACATATTGATAGTAAATTTTTTTTTGACTTAGGACAAACATAGACGGATTGAGAAGATTTGACGTCCCGGCACCGTAATCTCCTACAACTAAAACGAACAAAGTGTGGATATTTTTTTGGTACGACATTTGTTTTGGTTCGTCCGTCTGCCCACGCCTACGATCCCACGATATCTTAATTGCTGATTGATCGTGCCATTCTCCTTGATTGAATATATTGCCTGTCATGTGATAGAGGAATCACGGCAAAATAGGAAGTAGAAAATGATTGTGCTATCCATATACATATTGCATGTTTGCATACACCAGCATACATGGCAACAAGCAAAAGGAAAGAGAATTAACACAGAAGGAAAGAGAATTAAGACAAAAGGAACATCTTTGCATTTCTGAGAACTTTGCCAAATCTGCCTACATTTAATTACTTCCCCCCTTTGCATTTGCAAAAGGGACAGCTTTTTCCTCTTTTCATTTGGTTTCACGCTCACGTGTTCCATCGTCCTCGCTTGCTATTTCTTACGTGAACCATAGTTGATGTCATCTGTCTTCCATGGCTCAGCCTCCCAATTCCAAGAGAAGGTCGGCTCAGCCTCCCAATTCCAAGAGAAGGTCCCTACCTCTCCCTGACTAGAGATTCGGCCTGCCAGATGATCTCCTCGAGTCCATCGGGCAGCGTCCCGCGTCAGGCCATGGCGCGGCGTCCTTCCGATCCGCTTGCTCCCCATGGCGCGCTGTCGTCCCGTTCGCGACGTTCGGGCCGCTCCTGCTGCTCCCGTTCGACCCCGACTCGGACCGTGTCGGCTTCTACTGCGTCCCGAAGAAGAAAGTATTGTCCAAGACGCTGCCCGACGTGCGTGGCAAGGTGGCGTGCAGCTCCTCGTGTGGGTGGGTGGCGCTCATGGACGAGGCGGCGTCCGTGACGCTACTGAATCCATTCGCCGGTGCCTGTGCCCCCCGTGTTGAGCTCCCGCCAGCAGGCGAACACGTCGCGGCGGCGTCCTCATCG